AGTTACACCGCGGGCCGGGTAACGGGTCACACACGGTTTTCTTTCGAATTAATATAATTATTTAATGCAGTGGGCCCACAAAAAATTATGTGGCATGTTCTGATTGGGTATCGCATGCATCGCTGCGTGTGTATTACGTACGCAAATTTTTTTTCGAAGAAGAGAGCCCGCGCGTCGGAAATTGACTTTTTTTTCTTTTTTTTTTCAAAAGGAAATCGATGCATCAAAGCCCCATAATGAGAGCCCACGCCATGTGTCTAATTATTCGAGGACCCCGTGCCATGGGAGATCGAACTCGTGACCTGAGAGGACTTACAGTGAACCCCGCCAACCAACAGGTCACGACTTGCGACATATATATATATATATATATATATTATTTTTAATTATTTAATTAACAATATTTAAATCTCTCTCTACTATAAACATCCTAAGGCTGTGTGATTAGAGTTGTGAAAATGATTCATTATTCATGAATAGCTCGTGCTTGACTCGATAAGCAAGAGTTGTGAAAATGATTCATTATTCATGAATAGCTAGTGCTTGACTCGATAAGCAAGTGAGTCAAACAAAAACAAATTTTTTGAGCTCGATATATAAACGAGCTGAACACGAACAATGATATTTTTTAACCGGACGAGTCTGGACTCGCTCAAGCTCAACTCATTTACACCCTAAATGCCGCATGCATGACGGGTTTTCAAAATGGTTTTTTGTTCGCGAACAGCTCGTTAAGAAAATAAGCTGAACACGAACAAATTTTTTGTGTTCAAAATATAAACGAACCGAACACAAACAACGGTATTTTTTAATGATTCAAACACGAGCCGAGCCCAGTCTCACTCGTGTTCTACTCGTTTCCACCCCTAGTTACGATGGCACTATCTGCTCAATAACCTAGCTTTACTCAGCCAATAAGCACTCTCCTGATGAGAATTGAGGGTCCGACAGATGTCAACTAACCTAAACAGTCACACCAACCATCTTAAAAAATTTAGCCAATCGATCGTCCTTGACTGAAGAATCAACCCGCCGATGATCCTCATCTGTCCAACCCAACAATAGACTCGTCTCTCTTCCAAAGATGTCCTACGCTCAATGGGTGTGATTCAATCTCAGATTCCATGAGTCTAATTAAATAGAAATTTATTAAATTTTAATAAATCAAATATTTAAATCCATATAATTGAAATCAAAATTGGTTTTTTAAATTATAAACATCTCATCATTAAATGCAAAATCCAACTGAGGTTCACTGCATGCTTCCAATGATGAGATATTTGTCGTATGGGACAAAAAAAATACATGAAAAAGTGTGGACAGTACAAATGAGACAAATTTTCTGAAATGGGGGCATTTGTTCATAGCACACAATTCTCATGTATAAACATGGCTCACAATTCTCATGTATATACATAGCACACACAAAAAATTTCGTAACATAGCACTCGAATTTTTAATATCGCATAAGAATATATGTTTCAAATATTTCTTTCTCATTCATAGATTCAGAACATTAAAGTGTTATGTATATAAATATGAAAGTTCAGATGCGAGATATGTAAATACACAAGAATTATGCGATATTAACCTATTTAGCTCCCTTGTCATTTTTTACATATTACTCATGCCTCCTCTAGTAATTGTCACTATTATTGCTCCTTTAGTTAGTTGATGGCCCAATCATCTCTGAAAGACAATTAATGATTTAAGCTTCTTAACATGATTACGACCTATGCAAAGGACAAGTTGTGAGTTATTGGCATTAGGTTTCTCATGGGCAGGATAGTATTTTCCAAAAAAGATAATATAGTTTTGTCACGATTTTTGTCACTTATGTTTAACTTGTGCATCTTCTTGAAGTTATTATGACTCATACATGTGTTAGATACATGTGTTAGATTCATAATCCATCAATAATGTTAATTTACTCTTGATGTGTTTGGGATATTCATACCAAAATCAATTTTTTTGTGAAAATATGATCTAGATGCACACATCTTGTTTTGATCGAACATATAGTTGGATTTTTAACTTTTCAACTCACATAATTATGTGTTTAGAGCGTTGCTTCGTTCAACTACTAATCAAAGTCTTGTTGCCATTTATTGATGTCGCATCATTATCGGAGCACCATTTTCAATTATGGTCAACTATAGTCATGTCCTAAGGGAGTTTATAAAGGAAGCAAAAGAGTGAGATTGTCCAATCATTTTTTAGTGAGGTGGGGCTCTAAGAGAATAATCTGGTGAATTCAGAATGATAATATTCCTAGAAAATTCTATATAAATAGTGTATTAAAAAAAATTTATATAGATAAATTATGTCATATCTTGATTATCAACCAACATGAATACCAACTATTACCTAGTACTCAACATTAATCATCAAACAAATTAAAAACCTATCATTGCCAGCCACCTAGAGTTAGTCATTGATCGACGTAGACATTTATCGTCACATTTTTTATGAAGTTCACATTTGACTAGATTCTAACAAAGTCCAACTTTTGACAACTATTAACGTATCATTCTCAGTGCTACCCAAAATGTTTCATTGACGTTAGTTTACAATAATAGTTGCCTATCAACTAATGTTATTTAATCAACATATGTTAACACTTACTTTCGATGTCTAACAACATTCAATTCTAAGATATATCATAGACCTTTGTTGAAGTTAGTTGTTTCCGTCAAAATGAACTTCTATGAACCAAAGTTGTCAGTTTTCTACAATTAAATTAAGTCCGTCGACAACGCTTAATGTTTTTTAATGAAACGATGCCGGCCATAAAAAGCAACAACATCAATTTATATTTGTATTAATTACTAAAATATAGTAAATAATGCTCCTTCATTAGTGATTCTAGTGAGGCATTTGGATTGTGATTATTAGAGCTTGGTTTCAAAGATATCATCAAAGAGAAATCATTGAGGATATGATAAATATTAAAAATTAACACTATGAAATTTTATTCTGAAATTTAAATTTTATAATGCCTTATAAATAATAAATATTAATTCCTAAACATAGAATTACCCCAACTTTTGTCCAATTTTAACTACCACTGTGTAGGGGTGTAAACGAGTCGAACACGAGCGAGCCCAGGCTCTCGTGTTCGGCTCGTTTATATTTCGAGCTTAAAAAGCGTGTTCATGTTCGGCTCGGGTCGAACCGGGGTCGTCCAGGAACAAAGATTCTTTTTGACAACCCTAATCAAGTAGCCATAAGATATTAAGGACTGGGGCAAGATTTAAAAATTATTGTCTATATTAAAACATCATTTGAATATATTTAATAATTTTTATTCTATTTTATTAATTAATACTTATACTTTATTATAAATTCTTATAGCCTTGTAGTCAATTAAGTTTCTTAAAAATACTACTTTTATAAATATATATATATATAATTGATTAATAGTATTTCGAGCCAAAACGAGCCGAACACGAACGAACAAATCTTTGTTCTTGTTTGGCCAGTTAACTTAATGAACGAACCGTACACGAACTTCTTAGCGAGCCGAACACGAGCTGTTCACGAACAACGAGCCGTTTTGACAGCCCTACCACCGTGACAATAATTTCATCAATTCAAACTCTTGCTTGCACATTTGTTTTTGGCAAAAATGAATTCTTGTGTAGATAGAGCTACAAACAAACCAAGCTGAGTATTGAAAAAGGATCGTGTTCTGAGTCCCAGCTTATTTATAAATCCAAACTTAAGCTTAATTCAAACTTTTATGTTCATGTTCAAGCTTGATTAGTTTATCAAATCATTTTCATACATATTAAGAGAAATATTATTAATCTACTTATTTTCTAATCAAACGATATTCATTATTAAACAAATTAAAATTATTACCATCAATTAATTGCTTTTCTAGTCAAATAAATCTTATCAAAACAAACTAATAAGTATTATGATTAATATATTTATTTTTTAATTAAATGAGCATTATAAAGCTTACAAATAAATTAATTGTTAAATTTACAAAAACCAAACATACTAACATATAAAATCAAATGAACAACTTAATAAGCAAACATTTATTTTAGTTTAATTTAATTTATTATAAATAAAATTTAAATCAAACTTTAATTGAGTTTATTTTTTGCATTTAAATTTATTTCACAAGCAATAAATTGTTCATTGAAATTAATTAAACTACTCATTAAAATTCTTAACGAGCTTATTCGCAAGATTTAAATGATATTAACCGTGAAGATAAATGAATCAAACACGAAATTGTTCAAATTTGTTCATCTAACAATTGAGTATTTACAAAAATCTTCAAATTTGTTCTATTAATTAATCATACAAATATGAAAGAACCCTCATTCATTTATAACCCTACTTGCATATCTCAGAACCTCACCAAGAATTTGTTGCCAGTTGCCTACAAAAAGGAAAAAAAAAAAAAAAACCTAATTCCCATATACATAAAAGAAACAAAGAGGCATTTACTAAGCTACCACCTAATTCCTAGGTATTTACATATCTAACATCTAAACTTTACCTTTTACATTTATACCACCGAAATCATTCATACACATAAAAAATATCACAACTTGAACTTCTCATTCATTTATAACCCTACTTGCATATCTCAGAAGCAAGAATTTGTTGCCAGTTGCCTACAATAGTGAATACAAAGAAAATAAAAATAAAAAAAATAAAAAAAAAACCTAATTCCCATATACATAAAAGAAACAAAGAGGCAATTACTAAACTACCACCTAATTCCTAGGTATTTACATATCTAACCTCTAAATTTTACATTTTACATTTATACCACCAAAATCATTCCTATCACATAAAAAATATCACAACTTAGCTTAAAAAAAAGCTAAACACACCTTTCTATGCACTGGTGCAGTGGTATGCATGTAAAAATTGAACTTTTGGTGTTAGATATGCAAGTACATAAGAATCAAATGGTGTATATGTAAATCTTCCATAAACAAAAAGATAATTTAAGTGAATTTTAGAATAGAGACAAGAAAACAAATCTTCATTACTAAAATAACTTGTGTGAAGTCACTGAGGGGCATACTGAAATAGTCCCAGAAGTTAAAAACTTGAAGAAAATTCAAGTTCTATTCCATCTCAATCAATAGCATAAAAAAAGGGTGCGAAGAATTGTAGATTTACAAATCTATCACACGAGAAAGTTTTTGGATACGGTTCAATAAGAAATCCCCCTGCTTGATAGTTGCCTGATAAAGAGCATTCTTGGCATCTGGTCTGTTGGTCTCCAGGACTCCCGCAACCTTGTCAATCTTACAGTGAAGCTTCCCAGCTGCTATGAAGCGAGATAACTCCCTGGATAAAAAAATGAAGCAATTTCCAGTTAGAAAGCACTCCGCAAGTCAGTTATATCAAACTTTGGGTGTTAGATATGTAAATACATGAATATTGTGTGGGATGTATATAAATTTCTCAATAATATAACAATGAAATGGTGTGAAAAGCTCAAAACAGCAGAAAACTGCGGCGTACAGAAATACAAAACCTCGGAGTCATAAACCAATGCATGAAAACGTGTATTTCACTTTTAAAAAGAATGATGGTGATATTTTATGTGATGTTAAAGATTTGAGTGGTATTCGTGTAAATATGAATGTCTAGGTGTTTGACATATAAATACATAAATAATTGTGTGGTATGTATGTATATGGCCATTATTATTTGATCATACTATTCATTGAGAAATTTATAATATTTGTTTTCAGTTCAAGCAAAAATGGGGCATTTTCTTTGGTTCTCTTGTAAATTAATTATTTTGATTGTCCGCATCAAAATTTAAATACATCTTGACATGATAAAGGCTCTCTATATCACATAACATCACATAAAAAATAACACCAATATTAGCTTCTTTAAAGTAGAATGGGTCTTTCCATGCTTATGTTCGGAGAAGATATACACTAAAAAGTTATAAATCTAAATATCAAATCTTAGGCATTAGACATGGGAATAAATAAAAATTATGTGGTAAGTATGTAAATTCTAATGACAAATGCATTAGCATTAAGTGTGTAATACAAGTAGGCGAGCAACGTGGCTATACTTACAGATCAATGAAGTCTACAGAAACCCCAAATGCTGATGCCATTGCTTCCATTGTTACACTCTTATAGGATTCGAGAAACTGAGAATACACAACGGTTCGGACTTCTCTCATGTAATACCTAAAATGAGGCTGGAGATAGCGATCTAGCTTTATCTGCTCAGTCAAGCCAGCTGAAAAAAAAGAAAGAAATGGAAAACGTTAACTTCTCTTCTAAAAGGCAAGTTATGATAAAGAAGGCAAGAGAAGCAAATAATTAGACAACAGTTAGTTCATCGCTTGGCATAATCATGAGATAACTTCGCACCAAGACACATTATGTCATTGAATGCCATTAAAATCAAAACCATTTAACAAGAACCCATAAACAAATTATGTTTAAGGAGCTGATTTAAGTTCTTAAAAATGGTTATTGCGAAAACATGAAAAAAATTGTAGAACTCACAGAAAGCAATAAAGAATGACTTGTACTGGCATTCATGGAGGGAGTTCAGAAAGTCGGATAGATGAGGAATCTTCCCAATCACTGTAAGGATTTCAGGTGCATCCACAACCTGAAATTTGATGCATAAAAATAATCCACATTGAAAAGGAGATTAAACTTGTGTACAAGCAAAGCGCCTCTAACCTTTTCTTTGAGTGATACTCTGTCGAGTGATATAATGCTTGTAAGAACAGTATAGAATATGAAAGTGTCATAAGGAAACAGCTCATAAGTTGTAAATGTCGATATAGAGTCCAAAAATAAATTGGCTGCTCTTTTAAAATTCCTGGTGGCCATACAGTACAGGCCATCATATACTTTCAAACGATTTTTTCTCTCCCAGTCACCACCCTCCTCAAATAAACTGCCATAAGAACAAAATATTAGAACCCGTACATCATCATAATCTACCAAAACAGGAACCGATTATGTTCTGGATGCGAATTTTTACTACACACTTCTTAGCTTTGTCAAGTGAGCGAGAAATTAGATCGAAGTCCATGTGGAAAAAACCAATCTGCAAAGTGTAGAATACCAAATCCATCTTCTGGCCAACTGCAACCGTTTTGCTTTCTGTTACTTTTAGCTGCTCAAGTGCTTTCTCCTGCATATTCAGCATGAGAATTCCAAATTATTGTAACCTAGGGGATGTTTGGGATCACTTTTTATTTTGGTGATTTATTTTTTATTTATTTTGTTTATATTTTTTTATTTATATTTTTATTTGAAATAAACATGTTTGATATGTCATGACATGTTTTATTTAAAAATACTCAAAAAAAACTTTTTGATGTTTTAAGAGTTCTTAAAAATAAGCTAATTTATTTTTGAAAATCAAAATTTAAAACATGTAAAAAATGCACTAAAAAACATATTTTTAAATTAAAAGCAAAAACAAAAACGAAAAACAAAAAACAAAAGTGATTCCAAACATGCTCTTAAGAAAAGCTGGCTAAACATACTCGCATAAAGATGAACAACATAGTCACTTGATCATCATATTTACCTTGTCGCCTATTCGAATGAAATTCGAATGAAGTACAATGACCTTCGCAAGGTGAGCTTCACGAACTTCACTTTCACCGAGATTTTCCTCAGCATCAGCAATCCTATATGAAACATGACCATAAAGTTTCTTCCTATAAATTAACCATTCGATGCAGGGAATTGTAACAAACAAATACCGTTATTAATATGAATATCATCAGCCTTCAGCTCGAATGAGAAATATTAAAGGTTGATGTTAAATTGCTAAGTTGTGTAATGACTTGGCTTAATTGTGATAAGAATTAAACCATGATCAGCTATGATATTACCATCGGTCCATCAGTGATACACCGCAATTTAAACTGATAGTGGAGTACAATAAAAAAGGGTGGCCATCAGTTGCAAGTGATGCAATATACTTGACGCTAATTGTGTTGAAAGCAGGGAATTGTTGACCAAATCTAAAACTAAATATAGTTTAAAATTTGAAATATAGGGAACTTAAATCAGAAGGTTAGAGATTTAGGGAGCATGCCAATTAGACGAGAAAGGAACATCACACATTTCAAAGAAATTTAATGAAAAGAAGAAAATTTGAAGATAGTGGGAAGTGGCATATACAATTGCATGAGTTTAAGTTCAAAAATAAGGAGCACGACTATGGATAACATTGAAAAATAAAAATGTTGATGCTAGGTGATTACTATTAAGTTAGTTATTATTGAGTGTGTGATATATGTGAATAGTATATTTGTTCTTGGAATTGTTTAAATAAAAGAAATTTAACAAATAATTTTGGGACAAAATAAATTTATCTCTACAACACATACTCAGGGAAAAAAAAGAGGCTAAATTTTGGTCATGACAGAAATAGGCAAGCAGAGTAAGATGCTTCTGAGAGCAAAGCATGGTGGTTAGAGAATGGTTAAAATGTGATTTAGGTAGCCATTCATACTTTCACAATAGCAAGTACTCTAATAATGAACATATGCTTCGATAAAAAAATAGTACTCATTTGATATCAAAAGTGAAACTAGGGAGACAAATATAGTTATTTTTTTACTTGAAAGGAAAGATTTTTTTTGGTAATGATTATTCAGTGATTCTAAGATAAAACCAGCATGGAACGTAAAACAATAATTATGTATTTATAACAGCAAAGCATAATAAAAGCAGTAAAATAACTAATAGTCAGGATAATATGTAAGAACATCAAATGTGAGCAGTAAATTTTCAAGATACGCTGTTAAGAAGTCCGAACCTTAAAAAAAGAAGAAACTTTGCCTCAGAGAATGTCACAAAGATTTCTTAAAAGAGTTTATAATAGATAAGTATCTTAGTAAGGCCACATTTAGTACCCGTTTTAAGCTTTCTTGATTTATAAACTTTGAATAACCTAATATTGACTAATAGGCAAAAAAGCTCATGGTGCGCTTGCACCATCACCTTGGGTTCAAAAGCATGACACACACTTGCAAGATAGTTTGTCATCTCTGATAGTATCAATGACTCATTTCATACTAAATAACATAGCCAAACAAGAGCCTAAACATTGCAATCAAAAGCGTGCTTTGACGAGCTAGGTGATGAAAGGCTGTTTTGTGTCAGTTGACAGTCACAATGTGTGCTCACGTAAAGCATGCTTCGAAGCTAAAGCGGCTGATCAAACAATCGATCCTCATACAACCTGCGCAGCAAAGAAGCTTCTTCCAATCAACCAAGCACACGAGCTTTGACACAAAGTTCGACCTCCAATGACGCAGAGCTCGACTTCCATTGACTCAACAGTAGCCATGGACTTGACCTCCGCAAGCTTCGATACAGCCAACGACCTCTAATGAGTATGACATATTTAGGGTTTCATAGTATTTATACTTTAAAATTAAAATTATTAAACTTGCTTGAAATATAAAAGAGATCAATATTCAATATTTTTAAATATTTTCAAAATAAACTTAAAAAGATGTCACTTAAAAAATATATTAGTTCAACAAAATTTATTTTAAGCAGGTATATAGAATCATTAAGTTTAAAAAATATTATTCGCTAAATTTGGCTAATAAGATATCAGTATTAACTTACAATGTTCCTAGGTGTAAAAAGAGATAGGAGTGTCTTCAAGTAGGTTAATTATTAATTAATTTTAAATATACTAAATAATTACTATGTTTTATTAATTTTTTATGATTTTTTCTGCATATTCATATACAGGAATTGATAAGATCAAAAGCGCTCAAACAATTTAATGCACATCAAGTACTACCAAATTTAGAAAAGAAGATCAAATTAAGAGACGTTTTTCATCCAACAAACCCAGATTCTATTGCTAAAAACTGAGAGTGGTGAGCAACAGTTTGATGATGAATATCTCATTTGGAGGCAAATTGATAATTTATCAATAGAAATTGATTGTAAGTGATCTGTAAGATTTAAAAAGTCACAGCAAAATTGTGGTTCATCTATAATCAGGGTTAGCTCATCTCAATTTGCATCCATTTCGATTGAGCTTTATGGGACTCGAGATTTTACTATGCATTTAACTTTTGCCTTTGTTATGAATTAAAGGTGTTTTTACACAATCTTCAAGTTTTAAAATCTTACAGCAAACTATTACTCTAATTTGAACTTTAAATCCTTAGGTAACTCCTACCCATAATAGAAATTGATAGAAATTTCAACTCATAGGTTATCGTTTCACCCTCAAAGTATGTCTTCAAATTAGGCAATATGCATCACATTCTTTACTATGCTATATCAAAATTTAAGTCATCTAATAAACATTTCATGTTTTATACTTGTTAATGAATGTATCATATATTTATAATTTTATACAAGTTATAATTGTTTTAGTTAAAAAAGCACTGAAACACTCTGTGCTTTGAAGTAAGGTAAATTCTCGCACATAGTATGCAGTTTATGCTCTAAAAACATAAACAATAACACTACCAAACAAAGTTGAAGACTCGATGGTGAAGTACCAATCACAAAAAGCTTATTTAGACAAAGAAACATGCCTTTAAAACGTTACAAAAAATAAATAAGTAATATTAGACTTAATAATTATCTTTTTTCCCATCATAAAAGTTATTAAACAAAAGCCAGAGTTACAATTCAAGATGATTTACATAATAAGCTAAATATTCCATGTTTTATAATTGTTAAAGAATGTATCATATATTTTTAATTTTATACAGGTTATGATTGTTTTAGTTAAAAAAGCATTGCTTCGCTTTGTGCTTTGAAGCAAGATAAATTCTTTCATTGATGGTGAAGTAACAATCACAAAAAGCTTCTTTAGACAGAAAAACATGCTTTTAAAATGTTACCAAAAATAATTACGTATTATTAAGACATGATAATTATCTTCTTTCCCATGATAAAAGTTAGTAAACCAAAGCCAAAGTTACAACTCAAGATGATTTACATAATAGATTAAATATTCCATGTTTTATAATTGTTAATGAATGTATCACATATTAATAACTTTATTAAAGCTATAATTGTTTTAGTTAAAAAAACATTGCTTCGCTTAGTGCTTTGAAGGAAGAAAAAATCTTTTATCGATGGTGAAGTAGCAATCACAAAAACCTCATTTAGACAAACAAACATACTCTTAAAACGTTACAAAAATAATTAAGTATTATTAAGACATCATAAATATCTTTTTCTCATGATAAAAGTTACTAAACTAAAGCCAAAGCTACAATTCAACATGAATTACATAATACAAGCAAATAACAAATATATACAACCCACATTAACCCTTATACAATTGGAGGCAGAATTGAAATCATCATGATAAGAAGGAAAGAAATAAAACACAATAATAGATAATTAAAGGGAGGATAATTTCTCCCCCTCAAATGTAGCAGCGGACCCACAGTTTCCTAAACTGTGGGTGGGCCCATGTGGTCCACAGATATGCATATCATATTAACATAATGCACAATCAATTATAAAAAATAATTAAATCATTATTAAATAAACATTTTGTCGAGCACTGAAATAAAGTACTTGTTACAATTGAGCGTGTTTACAAATGTAAATGAACAATTCTATCAATGTTCAAGCTTGTTCATTCATATGTCAAGTTTTAAAAATTTTGTTCATGCTTGTTTAGTTAATAAAGTAATGAACATAAACAAACTCGTATCAATGAGTATTAAGTTGCTCATCGAGTGCACTGGTTTGCTTATAGCTAAGTGGCAAGAATGAAAATATTTAGATGAATGTGCGGCAAAACTATAAAATGTAGATCAATAATTGATTATATTAAAGGGGCACTGAAAATAACACTTACTGATAATAACATAATAGAAAAAATAGAATTATGTGAATTGGAAATATACAACAAGGAGGAAAAATAAAGTCAGAAGATTAGAATGTGAAATCAATATCAACAAATCATGAAGAAAAAGGGGTAAATGGTAAGCATCAAAGTAGTGCAAAATAGTAATTCCATGGAATATGTTTAGCACCTCATGTAGCACTCAACCAAAATAAATAAGTAATGAGAATTCACAAAACCCCAAGCCTAACTGATTGGCATAAAGCTAATAATGATGATAATGATACTAAAGAGGCAGATCATGTGATAAGTTGAATGACAACTAAAAGTTTCTATTTTATATGTATCAACAAAAATTGCTAACACCTCATTCAACTAAAATGACTTGCCATTGCAAACAAACATTAGAAATTATTATAGTATCTTTGTTGGGTGTTCTATACTTTCATTATAAATTTAGAATTCTTTCTTTTTTCTATTCTTAGAATTACTATAAAAATTTATCCCAGTTCCATTTTAACTTTAGTTAAACAGACATAAACCTAACTCCATAACTACATAAACCTAACTCCATAACTACAATGGCCAAAGTAGGTTCCCTTATTTGCCAACTTAGCTTATACATTGATATAAAGATGAGAAAAATCCCAAGCAGAAGAGAAACATGTAAATCATACAGTAATAATGTCCTGATCTTTTTTATTGTGTTTTTGCTACGTATCAATCATCAACATTCCCTTATTTGACAAGACTATCCTTACCGATATTTTTGAACAAAAGCTCAATCATTCTTCATCATAATCCTACTTCATGATTTCTATGTTTGTTTTACTGCTCAATTATAAATTATTTTCATTACATGATAAAAAAATAACGCAATATTAAATAGTATTTGAAACATGAAAACTTTACACTAGTTACTAAGAATCAAACTATGAGCTAACACTACTTATGGTTGCACTAAAGAAAACTTTGCTTTTATTCAATAAAGAACATATCTCCATAAGCCAAATATTAGCAAGCCACTTAAAATGTTCAAATAATTTATGCAAGAAATTAGACTAAATAAGCCTCAGAGCAGCACAAAAATAACATTAAAATTTATCAGTTGTACATCAACACAAAGTAATAACTTAGTGAAAATAGGCTTTAAATCGGCCATGTAGATTTGATTTCATAGTCATTTTAAATTCACAAAATAACTTAGTGATAATATTTGGACCAAGTCTGCTCTTAACTTTCAATTTTGATGGCTACCAATTAAAACCACAAATTATCTAGCTTCGTATGTACCTACCTACTATCAAAACCACAAGTTATCTAGCTTCATACGTACCTACTCGAGATGTTCTATAAAGGAGATAAAATTAAAAGGTGGGATGCAACTTTCAGTTTCTCCTTGTGGATATTATTATGGGCAACAAGGACACCTCTCAATTGAAGAGGAAGAAGTCGATGATTAGGTGACGAGCTCTTTACTGAATAACATAAATTCAAGCATTAGTAACAGTACACCTCTTTTGACTCATGATGTGGTCAACTACAAGGAGATCGCTCCTGAGGTAAATTAATATGTCATCAAGCTCTTGATGGTCCATAGTCTTAACGAATGAAAACAGCAGCCGGATTGAGTCTTGGTAGCTAGCGATGTGAATTGATAAGGAGGGTCAAAAGAAGTAAAAGTTAGCCAAAGGTACTAAAAAGTTTGCGGCAGTTGGGTGTAAAGGCTTGCAACTGAAATACTGAAGGAAATAAAAAAAACTCAGCCATTATACAATTACAAAAAAGGTGAAAGAAGAAAATATATAAAATATTATATATACATATAATGATTGATATTCTTATTTCTTGAGAAGTCTTTGTATTTAAGTTTCTGAATAGTTGCTTTAATGATCAAGAGAAAGGTAATGGAAAATAAAGAGAACGAAGAGAGAGAAATAGAGAGGAAGACAGAATAATCTAATGGGATAAAAAGGAAATATTTATCTTGAAAAATACTGTGTCTTATAATAGTAATTGGATTAGTAGATCGTTTATATCTCTAGGCGATCATGGATGTAGGTTTATTTTTTTGGGTATTCTCCTTTGCAATTATTTTTCTCATTCTTGTGAGTCTGTTACCATCATTTTTCTCAATCATACACTTTTCCTAAATAAAATTTGAAAACTACATTGTCCACTAAAGGGCTATTTAACCAGATGTTTTTAAAATGCATTTATTTTAGGCATGTAAAGTAATAAAAGTACACGTATTTAAACATAAATGAATTTTTTGTATGGATGCAAATAAAATTCTATCATTTTTTTTAGTTATAATAAACTTCAAATGCACCGAAAAATGGCAGATGGAAACAAGTATAGTCAAGGGCAGGGCGGTAGGTGACAATGCTGACGAGAGGCGGCCACAAGTGGGAAAGGAGAGGTCATGACTTGCAAGTTTTCCCTGTATTTGGAATTTTGCCGATTTGAACAAATTTCAAAATAATAAAAAATAGGCCTTCTAGGATATTACAAATTCACTACACAAATGCTTTTTATTTAGTTTATCACAAATAAAACATTAAAAAGATTTTGAAAATCCTACATTTTTTATTTTTTTTACCTTAAATGCATAATATTTGCAACCAAATTGCTAATAGATTTTCCAAGCTTGACCCATCAAATACACAATAGAGACAATGAAATTATCGGTCTAAGGTAGAGATTGCATTGCAGATAAAACATCATGCATAGAAGCATATTGTCAGGTCAGGAGTTTCCTCAAATAACAATTACTTTTGGAAATGCATAAATACCTAATTTCAGAACATCCAAAACAAACAAGTCCCGATTTCTTGCACATTTGACATAAAGTTCTATTAACTATCAAGAAAAATCTATAAATCTCAGCAAACCTTCAGAAATATAATAAAATAATTGTTTTTTTTTAGGCTAAAGCCTAAAAAAAACACATGAGCTGACAATCATCACAATATTAGCGCAAATTACATATATTATTGTAGTTTTTGGCAAATCATTGCATGCAAAAAGGTCTCATATGAGCTACCTCCAAATTCTGCATGGCCCACAGAAGTGCTTTGTGATTTGTTTATCATCAAATCAAAATCATTTTCTTAAACCATGCTTTCTATCCTTACTTTACCCTTCATTAATGACCTTTCAATCTTTGAAGCTCAGTACCACCCATCACACTCAAGTTGCCACAAAAGTTGCACTTAATCTTTGCCCTGAATTGGGGGATGAGACAAAGATACACAAACTATTAAGTCAATCAAGCTTTCATTTAAAATTACAATGTAGAAACATTCCATATCCCCATGAATCACATATCCAAGCATCTAAGCTTTTTAAAGTTGTTTGGTATACCATTTAAAGCAAGATTTACCACATAATTTCTGCTAAATAAAATTTTATGGATTTTAAATTTAATTGTTTTAATATATCACATTTCAGCCATCCTGTTATTGTTTAAAAAAGTAATTTATTCAATTAGAACCTTCATGAAATTTAACAATTTTAAGATATTCCCTCTCTTACAAATCTTGAATTCTGAAACAAAAAGGCAAACAATCCATTAGGATCTAAAAAAATTCAAAAGTTGTCGTGCCGCCAAGTGTGCCCCAACCAGAAGCCAACTGCAAATGCTTGTCTAATTGGCTCCACTATTCTATAACCCAATAGAAACTGCCAGCTAATAGTATGAAAGTTACACATAATTTCCCCCAGAGGAACCAATCTAAGCCCCAAAACGATCTTCATTGCAAACTTAATTCTCACCCAGAAGCCCTAAATGTTTCTCCTAACCGGACAACCCAAACACGCAGATCTAATCTCTGACATCAAAACCCGAAACCTTAAATCCAAAAAAAAAACAAAAACTATTAGTTTTTTCATCACAAGCCCACAACTGCATGAATTAGGTGTCCAAACCAACACAAAGAAAGTCATTAACAAAGTTGGGGAAAAATCGATTAAGCTTACTTGTCGTCCAGCTTCTTGATCTCGTCTTCGATCCTCTTACGCATGGAATCAAGTAAGGCCGCATCCATCTCGAGCACGGAAGCAGAGGCGAGAGACTCGTATAAAGACGCCATGTCGTCCGCTTTGACTGCGGTGAAGACTTCATCGCGGAGCCGTACCTTGTCGATATCCTCTACTTCCGGGTGCGTGAGGTGGAAAAGCTTGTGTGCAAGCACAAGCTGCGGCTGCTGGCTCCCTTCTTCTCCCTCCATTCTCTCCCTCTAACAACTCGATTACCTTCAAACCAGTGTATAGTTCAGGGTTTGCAGGTTGCGCGACAGTTTCCACCTAATGTATGGCATGTTTTCTTTTAAGGTCCATCGATTTCATTTCTTCTGTTTTTACGGAAATTTACATAATTAGCCCCTACATTTTATACATTTACTTAACTCTACCCAAATTATAATTTTTTACAAGTCAAACCTATTTTTCTATGTATGAATGCAAACATGTATGAAAAAATATATTACATTATTTATACATATAAAATGCTTTGGATATAAAATTAAAGTTTGGCAAGTGTGTAACCAGTCTTATTTTTTTAGGAGGACAGACTGACTCCTTAGACCCACCATGAGAGGAGTTAGGATAACGAATGACAAAGTGATATTTCAAGAATGTCAAAATTAAAATTTTAGGAGGAACAAAAGACCAAATTATTTTTTCATATAAATAAAAATCTGAGTTTGATGCGAGACATTTAGCTCTAGGGACCTTTCCTGGGTCCGCCTCTTAGTTTGGGTGTGAGGTAAGTAAATGCATAAAAATTAAGTGTCATGTATATAAGTTTTTCTTTTCTTAAATTAAGTGATAAGACTCCTTTTTCCATAAAACATTTATATAAAAATTATATAGATATTTAGATAAATACATACTACACAATTTTTTTGTATTTACATATCTAACAATTAAATTTTATTTATTACATTTATATCGTCCGAATCTTTCTTGTTACATAAAAAATACTACCATTTTAACTTGTAAATCAATAGCATTGTTATTGCGAATTGGGAGATGTTCCCCCTAAATTAGGAGAAGGTTAATGGACTATAACATTGTTGGATGGCAAATAAGCGAAGATCCAATGTTAGTAGGAGAAGGTTAATGGACTATAACATTGTTGGATGACAAATAAGCGAAGATCCAATGTTAGGAGTTTAAAGAAAGAAAGAAAAAAAGTTAACCACTTATGCGAAGAACACAAATAGTGATTTATAGCAATGCACATGCACTACTAAAGTGAGATGCATCCACTATAGTGAGATAAAAAAAGATATGCATTCATTGTAGCGATATAGAATATCTCCGCTATAATAGATGTTAGAATTGCAATACCTAAAAGAAATTGATATATTAGGACCTTTGATCTTCTTTCTTTAGTTGTTCACCTCTCTGTAGAGTTGATGCATCCTCAAGAAATTATTTTAAACATGCATGATTCACATAATATTTTGAATAATAAACGTCTTGATTCAAATTCAAGATCATCTAGAGCACTGACTCCAACAAGCTTATAGTCAAAATGACAATCTCGATAAGGTGAGCCCAATGAAGCCAAAATTAGTTTGATATGCATTCGATCAAGCCCATATCAAACCATTTTAAGTAAAATCGGAGACCTTGGATGAGCAATTGAATGGTCAAATATATTCCAAATTTGACAAGTTTATAATCATATTGAGCGTATAGTTAATCCAAATCAAAAAGTCCAAGATCATTTGATTCTAACATCGTCAAGGCACTCAAATACTCAAAAGATATCATTCAATCAAAGGAATTACTCTAGTTGCCCGATGTTGTGGTTCAGATTCATACAGTATTTACATATAATGTCACTCACAAAATTTATAAAGAAACTCCCGCTCTCTTCATAAAGGGGGACCTGAACTTGAAAGTGAAAGCTGAAGGAGCTCCAAGCTCTTGAGGATTCCTGAGTTCTTGGAAGGAGCTCCAAGCTCTTGAGGATTCCTGAGTTCTACTAATGTAGGACCACTGTCGACTAACCGCTGCAATTATAGACTACCATCGTTGCTGCCTGACCACCACTGTCGAATTACCACAGTCTGGCCACCAACTTAGATTCACCATCGCCAGCAGACCATCGCTGCCCGACCGCCGTCATTAAGTCGTCGCCACCACTAGACCTTTGTTGCGCAGCCACAATTATCTGACCACTGTCATTACTAAGTCACCATCAACGTTGTAGGACCACCACCATCCAACCGCCACTATCGAACTTACTGTCATCGTCGAATTATTGTTACCCGACCACAACCACCACTGAACCACTGTTGCCAGATCATTATCATCTGGCTGCTGCCAATGTCGTGTCACCTTTTCCTCCACCAAACCATCACTGTCTAACACCACCACCATTAGACCACTGCTGCCCAACCTCCATCGTTGTTGACGCTAAACCACTGCCACAATCCTAGACTACCAAAATATCCACTACCTAACCTTTGTTGCCTAACCATCATCATCACCACCACTACTGTCAATGTTGGCATCATAATTTTTGCCACTCGACCTCTACCTTTGGCTTTTCTTTATAGTAGTTAGGTCACTGCTACGTGTTAAGTGTTTTTGTTGGTTTTATAGTGAAAGTCACATCTTACCCATATAATATTGCTTATGACTATTCAAGGGTCAATAAAATTTTATAAACTACATCAGCATAGTGGAATTATTTCAACTCGGCTAAGCCCCATGGTTTTTGCCACTTTGAGTTTTCCACTAAGAAACTAGTTATCTTTTTGCTCAATTTTGTTTTACCTACGTGTATAACAAGTCGTTACGCAACACTAAGATATTAATATATTACTCTACTGATGTGAATTTACGAGCATGCAACAGTTTGGCGTCATTTGTGGGAAAGATAGTCTCATCATCTAAGAACTTGTAAAACTTATGAAATGACCAATAGAAGCAATAGTTAAAACAATGAAACATCCCGTCCTAACACCTGCCATTTTTCATTCTTACATCAAATTTATGAGAACCAATTCTAGACTGGGGCAAACTTTAACTATAACTTTGAATGGTTACTCATGTCAACATCTTAGACATGAGCATAGTTAAACAAGTTATTAGCATTCAAGATAATATCATCAACTATCTACATACAATTCCTAGCTGGACTTCTACTCCCAAAAACAGGATGTAGCCATGACCTCAAAAGGATAGAAACAATCTAAATATAAGCTAATTTTACCTTTAATTCGGGATCTGTGCGACAACCTTCATTTCCCAATTCATGTATAATCGATCCAAGGGTGATTTGATTTGACTCGTCCATACATGTTAACATCGTCGAATAACACTCCTGTGAACAAGCTTAAATAGGTAAAAAGGCCTTGATGGATTTCCTTCGAATCCTTTTCACACACTAATATTTTAACAGACAGCCTCACATATGTCAAAAAATCCTTGATGAATTTTCTTAGACTCTTCCATTTATGTTAACAACGTCGAGTAATGATTCAACAAACAACCTTCCATATATGCTAATGTCACGAAAAAAATACTTTGATAAACAACTTCGAATAGATGAAGCATCATTGACGGATTTTCTTCAACATCTTCCATATGTGGTAATGTTGTTAAATAAAACTCCAACAAACAACGTCATCTTGGTGAAATGTACATGGTAGATTTCCTTCAATCTCACCATCACATGACAAACAAAATGTTATGTGTTTACTATTTTTTCAATGATTAGTCATTCTCTTATCACTCTTCTGCGGTCACCTAAATGTAGCTTGCATAATCTCTAATGTTTTGCTATAGTTATTTGGCAATAATTGTCATTCATTAAGGCATATATTGATTTAATCTACTTTAGGGGATGAATTTATCACCCTCACCAATGTCGAATGAGCACCGTTGCTACCATTAGGCTATCCTGATTGATTAACACATGAGCACCGTTGCTACCATTAGGCTATATCATCACCAAAATAATGTCACTCGATCACCGCCAGCATCATCAAATGATTGTCACTTGATGACACTTCCATACCCTTAACATAATCTCTCGACCAACAATGTTTCTACCACCTTTACTGGATCACCATCTATAGTTATTGTTGTTAGATCACCATCGCCCTAGCAACAATGTTGGAAAATATTCACCGTTGTTAAACTATCATTACCACGCTGATAGAGCAGCAGTGACTATCACCATCAGACCACCAACACTCGATCGATGAGCTACAACCTCCATAGTCATTGGGTCACTTCCTTCATTATCAGACCATCATCGCTCGATTGACATTGTTAGACTATAACTGATGCTTTTGGAACCCACTAAAATCATCAGATTATCGTTGTCTAATAAGGGAACTACTACCACCATAACTTTATTGTGGGACCACCAGCTCCCAACCTGTGTTTCCACTAGATCATTATCATCCTACTGATGCTATTAGACTACGCAGCCACCCCCCCCGCCCCCCCCCCGCCACTACTTTTATGGCACATTAGCATTATCATTGGGTCAACATCGACATGTTAGAATAACTTCACCATGTCATCACCATCGCCCAATTGACACTTCCACCACTACTGAATCAACACTACTCGACCACCACCATCATCATGGTACACCTTCATTATCGAATTGCCACCACTATTGTTGTACATCATCATCGTTACCAAATAATTATTATCGGGTTGCCTCAGTTGTTGGAACACCATCACCCAATTTCTCTACTGAGGTTGGTCAAAACATTTTTTAAGGAAAGACATCACCTCCAACCCGATCTATCTAATGTGTTTAGTCAACACTTTTTTCAACAGAAGATATTTGCCTCTCCATAAAATCACAGGCCTTGAAAAAAGCTTTAAGTAACCGCTATAATAGACATATCTTTAATGACTTGAATAAAACTTATATCTAATATTTTTTTTCTCTAGAACTTTCCAAAATACTTCTCTTAGAAAATTATCATACGCTTTTTCTAAATGAACTAAATCAATAAAAATCATACGTAGATCCTTATTCTCTCTCTCCACTTCTCCATCATACACCATACATAAACAAATAAGTTTTAGAAAACATAAAACATTTGTTATTTTTATTATTTATTTGTACATGGTTCAATTCCACTTAAGTGCATCCTTAGTAAAATGTCCAAAAATTTTCTATTTCTTATAATTAATTTAAAAAGTAAAAAAAATTAAATTTAAAACCAGATTTATTTTGAGCATATATCCTTTAGATGACATATTTTGACAAATTAAGTTATAATTTTTATAGAATCATTAAGAGAATTTTTTAAGAAAACTAATCTTATTGAACAAAAAAGTAAGCACCACATCATTCGCCTATATGATATAAATTTTTATCATTTTTATAATTCTAACGATTTATTTTGAAATTCCTATTTATAAAAAAACCACAAATTTCAGATGACATAAAACAGAAACAAAACACTAGAGAAAATATTGCATCAGGACTCCGCAGATAAAGTTAATTGCGAAGTCCGATAAAATCACGCCACGTGACGGTGACAAAAATTTCTGGCCAATAACACAAGTAAATTTTTCTCCCGTGTTATTTAAGTGTTATTTTCAATAACACAAGTAAATTTTTCTCCCGTGTTATTTAGGTGTTATTTTGTGTTATTCGTGTGTTATTGTGTGTTATTCAAGTATTATTGATGTGTTCTCGTATTATCATAACACTGAGAATATTCTCAGAACACAATAACACCTAAATAAAATACAATAACAACTGAATAATACAGAATAACACGTGAAGAATATTCTCTTGTGCTACCAGACCGATTTTTTTTCTGTCACCACGTGACATAATTTCATTGGACAATGCACATAACTCTATGTGCGGAGTACTGATGCAATATTTTTTCCAAAACACTAACACAAAACACCAGAGAGCAATTAGAAAAATATATTATTTGACAAAAATAAGGCTGTAAAAAATAAAGTAGTTCGCATTTTTCACATAGTTGAAAGCTCAAAATTTCTTTTAAAATCAAAGATGATGATTATCAAATTACTAAATGATAAATATTATTTATAATATAAATAATTTGGCATAAAGTTCTAAAATAATCTCAACTATTTAAGCAACCAAATGAAAATAAGAAAAACAAGAGGGGCATTTACACAAATACCACCCAATTCCTATGTACTTACATATCTAACACCTAAACTTTACTTTTAAATTAAACTATAGGCGTCAGATATGTAAATACATTGGAATTAATCGTTATTTATGTAAATCTTCCAAAAAAAAAAAAAAAAAACCAACCACGAATGATCCACATAAACTGAAACACAAAATTCACCAGATACAGCTTACCGCCACACTTGTCGGCCTCCAATATGTCACAGGGCACATCACAGTTCATGATAAAAAAACCAAACTACAAAGGAGACGGAAACAGAGTCTGATTTAACAAATCCCAAAAGCAGAGAGATCTAAACCCTTACCAATCATCACATGCTGCCGTTCTGAACGTCACCACCAGGTACGTGAAACCATGCGAGACCAGACTGGGCGCAATGGACTGATTGAGAAGTTGAAGCTATGGAGCCCAAGGAAATTCGCCAGAGATCAAGTATTATTGTGACCAGCATGGCAGCACCTAATGCGTCCACAGCCACTCTTTGCAGATCCCATCCATCGTCTTCTTTCTCAGCAACCCTGGATTTCATCAAAGCAGCAGAAGAACTGCGTTGGAACAGATGAGGAAAGATAAAATGCGAGTGTATAAGAATATCAATTTAGTTCATAGATTCTTTTAATATGAGTTGTATTTGATAGTATTGTGGTGGTATTGTGATGCAATACTATCACAATATCATCATATACCACGAAATAGCACACAATATCACCAAATATCACGACATGACACTAATCCGCATGTGAAGATTCCACACGAAGACTATTTCAAGCTCAATTTAAAGAATCTGGAAACTAATTTGACATTTTTAAAAGCTATGTGATTAAAATGACCATATAAACAGCGAGGATACTATTTTAACTATGAAAATGAGATGAAAATTCCTTTTTAATATAAACCAATAATATGTACATGAGTACCAAATTCAAATGCAAATATTTGATTCAGAAGAAAATAAATTCTGTAACTTGCAACTTTAGATATGAATTTTAAGATGATTACTTTACACTTCATAATTTGGCTCATATAGAACAAAAAAAATAAAAAAATGTAAATAAGGGATGCATTTACTTTTTATTTATGTTAAAAAAGTGCATGTGTTTCATTAATACAAATAATAACAAAATTCACTTAATTATTTCCTAAGTGATCGAATCCACAAGGGAATTTTAATAAATTGTATAAAAGAGCAAATTTTTTAAGAAATTACTTTACATGTAATCCAATGCAATGGCACCTTAAAATAGCACCAAATGTCACACAAAAGAATTATTCGTTGATTGAATAAAACAAGAATATGGTTTTCACATAGAAAGCAGTATAATGTAGACTTATCCTCACCCCTCAATTAATGTTAATGCAGATACTGCCCTTAGTGATAAAATAGATGTTTGTACAATCATGCATGTGCCAATAAATAATCAGTACAAAATAACAAAAATAAATAAATAAATAGCACGTAGGGAGTCTAAAAGAACAGTTTTTAATGTTAAAAATTATGTTTTTAGAGACATTTATAATAGTTTAGATATGAAAGATGATGAAAAATATATGTATAAACTAGCCAAACAAAAAGAGAATAAAAGTAAGGATATAACCCAAGTAAAATATATTAAAGATGAAAATCAAAAAGTGTTTTTCTTATAGGAAGATATTCAACATAAGTGGGTGAGCTATTTTGATAAACTTTTCGATGAAATTTCTGAAAATACAACCGACCTTAGTGATCTTAATATCGTTAATAATAATAAAATATTTTATTTTTACCGTCTTATTAGTAGTAAAGAAGTTGAAGAGACTTTAAAGAGAATCAAGAGTGAAAAATCAGTAGGACCTGATGATATTCCCATTGATGTGTAGAAATATTTAGGAGATTTGAGAGTTTTTTGGCTTACTGAACTCTTTAATATTATTCTAAACACTAAAAAGATGCCCGAGAAGTGAATACCGCGCCGACGCGTCCGGAACGTCAACTTTTGCTAGGAAGGACACTCATACCTATGATTTCACGCGCGAGCAACTAACACGAAAATCGATGCACGTTAGCAGGACGCGGCCCCGGGCTCGACCCAGGTTCAGAGATAAGATACAAGGATTTCTCATAATCAATTTGGATTTATGCCGGAAAGGTCTCCTATGGAAGCTATACATTTATTGAGAGGTTTGATGGAAAAGAACATAGAAAATAAAAATGATCTACATATGATTTTTATTGATTTAGAAAAACCTTACGATAAGATTACAAGAGAAGTCCTTTCGAGAGTTCTAGAGAAAAAAAGGGTCGATATAAAAGGGTCTTGATATTACTTATATTCAATTCATTAAAGATATGTATACTAGAGCTGTTACTTTTGTTCGAACAAAAGGAGGATTGACCAAGTATTTTCCTATTTCAGTTAAGATTACCGGCCTGTTTGGGGCCGCTTTTTTGGAGCGTTGTGGCCCCAAACCGCGAAATGCTCCCGTTTGGATCGCAGCTTCGCGGCCACAAGTCGCTAAAGAGGGCAGAAAGCGGGCTGCCAAATCGACCCCGCGGCCCCAGCTTTCGCCTCGCCAATATTCAAAATTGCTCTCATGACTTCTTTCCTCTATCTCGCACGCAAGACCACACCGACATGATCTTCGTAGATCGGAAG